CATTTAAAACAAAAAATATTAAATTTTCAAATTTATTTCATGAAAAGTAAAATAAAGAAAAAAAGCACTTGATTATTTCTTTACAAAACTGCGTATTTATCCAATAGAGATTTGCTTTGCGTCAAAATTGATAAAATGAGTGCCGCACATTTTGTAATGAAATTTTTTGCTTGAAGAGTTAAGAAACTGAAATGTATGCACCTGTCTCCAATACACAGTGACAGGCCCACTTGAACATTTGCACCCAGCATAAAATCAGGGTAGCCAATTATTTATGTATTATCCTCTTGGGTGTCTTTCTCTCTCTTTCTCGCTCTCTCTTTGAGAACTGACGCTTGTTGTAAATCAATTGGATTTTAGACAAAAGGTCGTACTCAAGAAGTTTTCTTTAAATTTGTCATATTAATATTACATACATACAAATTCATTAACATGATTTACATACACACACATTAACATTTTAACATTACATACATACAGATTCATTATGTACACACACACACACACACACACACACAAGTATGTCTAGAAGCTTGAGGGATTTATATGCCCACATGGCTTATATAAAATTAACTTCATTTGATTCAGCCTGCTCTGTTTGGAAGACTGGCGCAATACAATCTTCCTGCCCTTATCTCCATCATGTATTGGAAAGCTAAACAGTGCAGAGTAAGGATAAATTTTGTTAGTCTGTAAAGTGTGAATGTTTACGTCTATATGAAATTCAATTTCTAGATGTCAAATTGTGAGTCTATAGAAATTGTGTAAAGACTAAGAAAAAGTGTGTATGATGACAATAAAGAACTCGTGGCTGTTCGTCGAAATGATTTGTACATACATGTGCGCGTGTATGTATGTATGTATGTGTGTGTGTCTATATTAATTTTTAAGTCCCCGGATTGAAAAAAAAAATCCCTATTTATTCACTGTCCCGTTGCTCATCTCCCCCATGGTGACGGGACTCTCTCTGCTCCCCAGGCCCTCTCCTAGCCTTAGACACATAATCAGACAAGCAGTTAACTACGACAGCAGTCACCGGGTTGGGTAAGAAGAGGAAAGGAGAAGTGCTTGTTCCTTCACACCTCATCCCTATTCTTGGCCTTCTCCTCCTCCAGATGGCATTTCTCCTTCTTCTAGACTCTCTCTCACTCACACACACACACACACACACACACACACACTCACACTCACACATTGCTAGCAAGATGAAATCTAACATAAGCGGATGGAATAGGCTCCTGCTAAAACATTAGCAACACTGAACAGAAAGAGAGAGAGAGAGAAAAGCCAAGAATCATTTTTAACAACTGCAGCCAAGACCAAAACTACACACTGTAGGATGCGACATTTTTCGAAAATGTCATCTTTGTTTCTTTCCTCTGCCACCTCCTGTTAGTGATGTTCTTTGATTGTATGGGACACGGAATGCAGTATTTTGAAGAAAGAAAAAAAGGTTTCTTTTCCTTTTATTTGATTTCATATTTAAAACTCTGTAATTTATTTATTGAACACAAATCGATTTTCGAATGATTTTTTTTTTTTTTCATGTTTTGGTCTGTCTGTAGGTCTGTTTATGTACAACGTGTACTCTAGAAATATGCATTGTTAATAATTAGTCAGTATATGCACACACACACTAGTAACCACATATATAGTAACTGAGTAGGTTCAAGTAGAATACAATCAACAAAAAAAATAAAACTTGAAGTGTTTTTAAATTCTAAATGTTTGTCATATCTGAGCATTTTTTCTTTTTTCTTTTTTTTTACTTTTATATGTTTTCATGTTTTGAATTTTAGCATTGTACATTCCAGTATGAGGATTAATAAAAAAAAAAAAAAAATTAAAGAAAAAATAAGCCTGCTTTTCTCAAGCAGCCAGTATCTCCCATGTTAATTTAAAATTATTCAATTTCACATACCTTACTTACAGTGTTCCAAACCCTTTCTACACCTGGTCTCCAGGTACCAGATCTTCAAACTCCCATTTTTTGTGATGGACACAAGCTTAGGCTAGGGACAGGATTATTTTAGGTTTGTTCAAAGAATTACATAATAAAAAATGAAAAATGTGTTTGGTAAACAAAGAATGTAAGAATGTGAAAATTGTGATATGTAAAATTCAATAATTTTAAATTAACATAGGTTATATTTGCTTCTAGAGTAATTTAAGATTTTACTAGAATATAATTGGAGAGCAAACAAAAAAAATAACCTGTAATTTAATTACCAATCTATTGTAATATATTTCATTGAAATAATTAAGTTTCTCTAATCTCATTTGTGTTTTTTTTTTACTTTCTAAATAAGATTTTGTGATAATAAATCAAGGTGTATTTATTTATTTGTACTTGGTCCAAAGGAAGTTGAATGAAAAACCTTTTTACTTAAATTAATTTTCTGATTTTATTATTCTTCCACATTTCATTTGTTGGTCACAAATATTCTTATGTAATTGCAGGGTTTTGAAAAATAATCTATATTTATAAGTGTGGTACAAGGCCATGTTGGTCACCCAGGAAGGATTAAACTCACTTAAGAACTAATGATTTGAGAGATTATGTTAGACATAATTGTATGGTGAACTGATCAATTTGTTTCTGAAGAGAGAATATAAATAAGGAATTAGAATTTTTGGCCCCAAATTTTGTAGGGTGGATAGAATTGAATTGAATTTTCTTTGTCATATGGACTGTAAATTCTTCCATTTTCAACTTGCCATATTTGTAAGGAATTGTATGTTAGTAACAGACTATCAAGTTTATATTTTTTAAATATTCCTTCATTAAAACAAAACAAATTTTATAAAAATCAAATATTTTTCTCATTGAATTCATTGTCACCAAAAATTATGCTAACTCTGTCTACAAGTCTCAATTTAAAATTCTAAAAAAAATCTTCACATTTTTATAAATACTCAGTATACAGGAAATTTTCTTGTTGATAAAGTTCTACAATTAAATATGAAACTATTTTTCTTTTTATTCATACAAATAATTTTCTTTATTATTATCAAGAATGATTGCATGATAATGATTCATACAATAAAAACAAAAACTACAAAATAACAGTTGTAACGTGCTGTTATATTGTTTTGTTTTTACAGAAGAAGGAATTTAAATTTTATTATTTTCCAGTCTGTTTTGTAGAAGTTATTTGTAGATATTTATGATTTTATAGTTGTCGTAATTAAAGCAATTTAAACATTTTGGTAGGGATCCTTTCAGCCATGGCACATATTGGTCTGAAAAGAGAAGCAAAACTTTCATTGGATTAATATCATTAATTTAGTTTTGCTTGTCTCTTAATTTACTTTCAGTTTTCCAATCAGCTGTAAAAAGTTGTTATAAATGTATTCACTGAATTTTTTAGATGAGATTTTGTCATTATTCAAAGTAGAATCCTCTTTCTCCTCTCCTCTTCTCTTTTCTTTTACTGAACACCACATTTCAGTTGCCAGTAGACACTCCAACCTTCCAAATGTGTATTGTACATCTGACAAGCTTCATTTTTTTTTATTTTTATTATTCCAAGTGACAAACATTTTTTTAATGTTGGAATCATTTTTCCTTACTGCATGTGAACCTACACTTTGGGAAGGCTTGTGAAGTCTACTGGCAGAAACTTAGTGATTAAAACAATAAAGGTAATGATACTATTAACAAGACAGAAGTTTAAAAAAAAAAATGTTAAAATTTACTGCAACACCAAGAGAAGGTTGTAGCACTTACTGGTTAAGTTTAGTAATAGAGACAAGAAAAGTTCTCATCTAAATAGTTTGTCATGTATGTTGGAAGAGCAGCTTTTTAATGAGAATTAAAACTGTGTGTGGGCATATATATGTAAATATTTGTGTGTGTGTGTGTGTGTGTGTGTGTGTATGCACACACACATACATGCCCATATATATATGCACACACACACATATCTTTAGATGGTCATCTACACATGCACAAATATAAACTGTATTTTAAAATTCAATGCATTTTTAATTTAAAAAGAATGCTAACAAATAGTTAAAATTCATATTATCTAGACTTATAATGTTAATATATTTCAAAGTTCTATAAGAAATGGGTTGAGCCAAGAACTTTTCAGCACTTGCTCGGAATACCTCTCTCAGTCTGTTCATATTTATCTGATTAGATTATGTCACATCATACTTTTAATTAAAAATTAAGTTGATGTCAACAATAGACACATTACCTTCTTATGTAACATATTTGAAAGTAGATATTTTAAAGTCGATATATCTCTTTATGAATTCCATTGATTTATCTTGTCTCTGAAGAGCCAACTTACTGCTGAGAAATGGTTGAGAGATAAATCTTCAAACTTTCTATTCATTTATATACTATCTATCTTAGTGGCCTCTGATCAAATGACCAGATATCTGATGTTTGGCCATTTGGCTAGATTTTGGGGAAATGGATTGTAGAACTTTTCAACACCCCTCCACACACACATTCACACACACACACACTAGAACAACACCTATAATAAATTTAGAGTGAAAAATTCTCTAAAATTCAATAAAACATTAGATTATGGAGAATATTTTCTTAAATTTTTAACATTATCAAGTACTTAAAAAGATGTTCATGTTATATTGCTCAATATTTTTTTTAAGGTTAAAGCTCCCTGTAGAAGAACATTACATAACAATTTATCTGTCATTGGATGCCATAAGTTTCAGAAAAGTATATTTTATTTTTGGAAGATTTTAATAAAGAGATATACATTTTTATAACACTTTGCTAAAAATGTCACCAAAATCAAAAATTTTAGAAATTTCCAAAAAACAATTTTTTCCAATCAGTTTAAATTAGTTTTAAAATACGGCATTTCTTGGAAATATTAAATTTAATTTCTCAGCTTGGAATTAACACTAAAATAAAAGCTTAAAGAAAGATTTTTCATTATTAAAAATTAATTTTAAACATTAGATAATGCATTTTCGTGGAGGTCCTTAATATTAATAAGTTTGTTTTGTTTTTGCAGATGTTGTTCCTGAAGGAAAATTGTTTATGGTCAGAGCTGAGCAGATATCCAAGTCGAAGGACCTTTTACCCATTTTTCTGCCCATTCTATAAAACTCTGACCATCAGACACTAATCACTTCCTATTGAGAACAATCCCACAGATAAGTGAACGGGGTCGGGTTAGAGTTCCTATGGGTTCTCTAAGTCGACCCCTTGGACCCTCTTCCCCAGGGTGCCGCCTCACACGAAGGGCACAGTGTTACATATTTGGCCTCTTCATCAATCTTTTTCTCTTTTGCAATGTCTTTCTGCTCCAATCCTGGCCACGCTGGAAGGATGCTACCCTGGAGTACCCGAATGGGCAGTCTCATTTGGTCAGCAGGAGTTCGGAAATGACTCAGGATGATGAATATCGGATACTGGTGAGTCGATTCAGGAAATTGATGGAAAACTCTGTGGAATCTACTAATTTTCCATCTGACAGGAATGAGGATTCTCTTGCTATTATCAGTGGCGATCGTAACACAAGTTTGCATTTTAAGAGCAGACGCAGGGAACGGGTTATTGTAGACTGTGCGGAAATTCAGAACATTACCGAAAAACATTATATTGCATCAGGATGGACAAAGGCTGTGTATCGAGGTTTCATTGGTTCAAAAGAAGTTGCAATGAAGACTGTTGACATTGGGGGTCAGGATGTGTCAAATTGTGTTAAGTGGGGGCAGACTCTGGCTGAGTGCTATTATCGAGCAGCCCAAAAAATTATCAAAGAAATTGTTCTCCTGCAGGAATTAGAAAATGAAAACTTGGTTAAGGTAAGTCTACAAGAATTGAGTTTTACTTTTTTCTAAGGTAATTAAATACACGGATTTTAACAATGGGCGTTTATGGCAGATTTGTGTCTTTGATTAAATAACTACCAAAAAAAAAAAAAAAAAAAAAAAAAAAATAATTCATGATTTGAAAATCAGATTATAATATGGCTTTAATTATTTCTGTGAATGTCTCTGGGTACCTTTTCAAGAACATATGTTATTCTTTAAAATTCTAAGTTTTTATCACTAGCCATGAACTGTTCAGACTATCACTACATTTCTCTTGATGCATTCTTTGGCTTTCTTATACATTAGACAAAACGTAACAAAACCGACAAGGATTAAAATAAAATATCGTTAGATTAAACAACTCGAGGAATAAAATGCTATTCTATCTAAAAATAAATATTTCTTTATATGACAGCATAATTTTAAAAAATCTTCATTGTCATTATCAAGATCATTCCCATGACCAGGTGCAGTTGTAGGTTTGTACGGTTGTAGGGTTGAGGAGGAGGCACGGTGGAGTAATGGATAGCGGCTTGGATTGAGGAATCGGAGAGCTGAGTTCGAATTCCAGTTGAATCCATTACATTCACTTACGTGCTAACACCCTTGGGAAAGGTGTGAATCCTCTTTCTTCTCTTTCCAGCTATGGGTAAATAGCAGGACAGACTGGGTTCTATAGCCTTGGATGGCAACTGGTCTAGGAGAAAGAAAACTCTGAATTCAAACCTGCTCTTAGAGGAGGGTGAATGGAGTCTCTCTGAGCCTTGGTTGGCAATCCATTTAGTGATGGTGTCACGATAAAAACACCCTTGATAGCCCTAGTGAAGCATCAAGAATTTAGCTATTTGACAAGATTATGAACTACACCAATCAAAGTATTGGTGAGTTTAATCTCGGCTGAGGCCACAAGATGATGATGTAGGGTTGCAGCTGAGCACCTGACCGTCTCCTTCCATATGTCTCACTTGTGTGCCAATGTCAGAGTCTCAGTGAATGATCTATCATGCTGTCAGCCCATTTTTCTCCTCTTTCACTTTTTCATTTTCCTAAAGTGGAACCTTGTTGGATGGCAGTGGAGAAATTGTTGGCTCTTATGATATAGCCATACCATTTCAACTTTCTCTTTTTGATGATGGTTATGAAGACTTTGTCGTTTCTATCTAGGAAATGCCAAGGATGGTTTTGTCACATTTCATTTCTAATACTTAGATTCTTTGCTGTAATTCTGCTCTTAATGTCCAAAATTCTACAGCATATAGAAAAATCGAGAAGGCTGATGCAAGCAACATTCTGATCTTTGGTCAGATATTCATGTCTTTTCAGATGGTTCTTATTTTTGCAAATAGCTGACATTGTTTATGCTGCTCTTTAAATTATTTCTAATCTGGATCTGTCTTTGCTGCATAATCAAACCAAAATATTTTAATTTTCTCACTACTTTAACTTCCTGACCATTGGCATTTATCGTGTTTTGCTTTATGGTATTAATCTCTATAACCCATATCTAGACAATGTTTCATCCAGATTCTTCACCAGTCTGACCAGGTTCTATTCTTTGTCAACTAGACCCTCTATGTTGACTGTAACGCAAAGGTTTAAGATGTTGCAATATACGATGACGACTGTGCCCTGGTATCTGTCAAGGGCATCACTCGTGATGCATCAAGGAAGATGTTAAAGCATGTAAGGAAAGAAGATAGCCTTGGTGTACACTGATTTTTAAAAGATTTTTACAAAATTACATGATTCTTTGAGATTTTCCACAAAATTTCTCAGGAGATTAAAAAATATGGTCATTGAAAAGAAATTTAAAAAATCTATTTGAAGAAAGAGACTAAAATGAATAAACATCAAAATTTTAACCAAAGTTAATTATCCTGAGTCTGAACTAACATCATCAAACTACATCCGGCAGCAAGGCCTCTGATCGGGAGATTGGAGGTTTTGAGTAGAGTGGAACAACTTCTTAATTGCTGTTGTTCCAAAGTCTCCCCTGACCTGGGGTGGTAGTACCTGTTAGGATCCCTATCATGGACAAATAATGAACCCTCAAACAAAAATCAACAGTACATTTTTATAGTAAAATTACCAGCAATACATTTTTTTATAAAGAAATTACCAACACTAGATTTTTAGTTAAATTACCAGCAATACATTTTATGATCTACAAATTAAAATATTTAAAAAATATACCTTTTACCCTGAAAGTATAAAATTATGTACAAAATATTTAGATTTTGGCATTAAATAACCCATAGAGATGTTGATATGCAGCTAAACAGAATCAACAACTAATCAAATTTACTTAAATATTGATGACCTCCAATTAAATTATATGGAGTGAGTAGCTGTTATTTATTTTTGCATTTAAAATGCAAAAATAAATAACAGAACTGTCCAACAAACAGAACTGACAAAGTTTGCAATAAAAAGAAAAAAGAACAGAGCAAAAAATGATATCAAGCAAGCAAACAATATATAGAAGGCAAAGAAACTGTAATAAAGCAAAAAGTTCACAAACTAAGAAATGGGTGTCAACACACAAAAAACAAATTTGGGCAAGCGAACGTAGTGTTCTGACTTTAAGACAAGATAAACTGGGACTGTGTCATATGAAACTGCAAACCAGTCTATTTTATTGGCTAAAAAAAAAAAAATCCCAGCATGCATTTGTGCACTTCTGCCTTTAAAGAGAAGGGGAAAGTGCTTTGCAGTCATTCTAAACAAGATTGAAATCAACTAATTGTATCTTAATTTCAATTTTATTTGAAAAGTAGTAAGCCTATCTGGAATTGTAAGACTCCTTCCTTTCCTTCATTTTGTCATGCAGTTATATATTTGTATGACAGATTTACATATGCCATAAAATCATCCTAATTAAAACCTTTTAATAGGTGTTCTTATACAACATGTATGCATCATGGTCCAATCAACACAGCATTGTAATCGAATGATTCACAAACTGAACTTAATTTTAGATTAACATTTATAAATATTTTTTTTTTCATATTTACCTTCTTACTTATGCAATGGCCTCATCCATTCCTCTAAAATGAATTCTACTACTGCAAATTACCTACTTCTTCTTATGTATCATGTCCCTTCAGGGCTTTCTATTCTTTGTAGCTCTAAGTATTGTCTTCTTACTATCCCTCCCAGTCCTTGTTCAGCTATACATTTGCAAAAGCCTTTTAGTATGGTTATTTGATGGTTCCCTCCTTTCCTCTTCCTTTCAGTATGTCCTGTGAGTATCAAATTTGCCAAACCTTCTTTTCTTATGCATTCTAGAAATTTCAACTGTCTCTTTCTGATACTATATTTTTATTTCTGTCTTCCTTAAGACTTCTTTGTTCCATCCACAGTATTCACAGCTTCCTTCTCTATTGCCTCCACTTCATTTATTCGGAAACTGACCAACATTCACTGCCATACAGAAGGATTGATATTACATAGCACTCTTTTCTTTGTTTCTAATGAACTTCCTGTTTCTTAGTATTTTGTTTAGCATTTGGAAGGCATCTTTTACTTCAGCTTTCTGGAGACACTGGGAGCATTTCAGCTTTCTGAAGATCTTCAAAATTATGGATAATGGCATTTTGTTTTTATAAAGACTGTATAAAATGAACCTTTTTTTCTGTTTTATTAAGACTATTAAATATTTGCTTTACTCTAAAAGTAAACTTTTTCAATCTCTTTTTTTCATAATGATCTTTGTAATGTTAAAGATTTTTCATTCTTTAGCCTTAGTCTTTAAATAGGTTATCTGCAACAATTGTTGAACAATACAATGTGTCAGATTTTATGATGCAAGTCAATGTTTTCAAAATAGAATTGGTGTTATCCAACCAATTTTGGCAACATTTTTAGGATATATTTATATATTAAATATACTTACTATGTGAATTTTACCTGATAATAGATGTTTACAATAATGTATTTGTGTGAGATTTTATTATGCAACTTGAGAGTTCATCATCATATTGTAAGTAAATATCTATAGAAATATAATTATTGATATTTAATTTTAAATTTCAGATGTATAAAGATTGTTATCAATTGTAAGAAAGATATGATATAAAAAAGAAGATATTGTGAATTTAATGAATAAAAATGTTCGACAGATTAAAGAATAATCAAAAAATAAATTGGTAAGATGAAATAAAGATAAACGTAAATTTAAGAGTAATAAGTAAGAAACATGGATTGGCCATAAGTAAATATTTGAACAAATGCAACAGAATCTTAAGCACACTAAAAAACAAAACAAAACTACTACCTTTTAAGTAAGTATCATAAAGAGAAATATGTTACTTAAAACAAGATTTTAGTGATGAATGTAGAGCTACACTGGATGAACCTGGGTTAATGTTTGGATCCTTTATTTAAACAATTAAACAACATGACTAAGAAGACAATTGGGAGGAAATGAAATAACATTTGGGGCTTGTATTGTAGGTAGTAAAGTTATAGATTCTTTTAGAGTTGATGATGATATCAAGATAAATGCAGAGACTTACTGTATGTCCTTGGACATGATGTTTCTTGAATGGTACCATTCACAACTGAGCAGCTTTAAGCTAAAGAGTCTATTCTATGCAAGACAATGTTCCTTCATATGCTGAAGATTGCCCACTTTACTAAAATGTTTTTTAAAAAAATACTAAATTAATAGAATTGTTCCTAGCCTCTCCAGATATTAACCCAATAGAAAACTTGTGGTCCATCATTAAAAGTGATATTTATGAGAAAGGAAAACAAGCAAAAAAATCTCTAGGAAGCAATAAAATCTGCTGCAAATAATGTTAAAATCAAAACAGTGGGAAAATTAAAATTAATAGTTGAAGAACTGATGTTGGTTATAAAATACCAAAGAACCTGTATTCATAAGTAAAATAATAAAATAATTTATTCAAGTGTATACAGGATATTGTCCTAATCAAATCTGTTTTCTATGGCAAATATCTTTTGGTAAATAAAACTTTATATTGTACCGGTTTTGTTTAAAAACCTGAGACTCACTAAACTATCCTTATTTTTTAATAAGGCTAAATCTGAGCCAAAGCTCAGATGATATATTGTTTATATAAATATGCCCTGAATTTTTTACCTACCTTGTTTGGTTAATACCCATTTTATTGTGAAATCATTGACATACATAAGAAAATCTGACCTCTTTCATATTGACCTCTTTAACTACATAGGCTTAAACATTCTTTTTGTTTATCATTGATAACAATCTTTACTTTTTAAAAATTTCAATAATTGACTCATCTTTGAAATTTCGTTATTTGTCCTAAGTTTGTAGATTTTTCCATGCTATTTTATGAATTTAAGTGCCAACTTTGCTGTCATTAATGGCTTGGAATTAAACAAAAATGAGGAAAAGAAAAAGTACTTTATTGATACTTGTTTATATTATTAAAAAAAAAATGGCTACAAAGCTAGCCTCTTCAGCTGCTACAACTCTAGTAAGTCTCTCCATCATTTATGCCCTTTTGATAGACTAAGCTGAACTTAATAAATAGATATGTCCAAAAATTATGATTGAATTCAATCCCTACTGGATTCTTCTCTCTTGTGGCCTTGTATCAGATTTAGTTAAGTTTAGCTGGGAGTTTCTTACTGTAGAACAATGGTTATTTATTTTTGAAGACCATTAATACTGTAGTGAATTGGATCCTCAGTGAGTACTTTACACATTTGACTTTAATAATAAATACCTGATTAAAATTTAACTAAACACAATATTTAAAAGTCTAAGTTGTAAAAAAAGCATTGGGCAGTAACCTTGGCTCCCATCACTCTTGTTATTTGGAACAAACTTTGTGTTTTCATCTGTCATTTATTGGAAAGGATGTTGAAAGCAATAGAATTCTTGGAAAATCAGGAGCTGTGGAAGAAAGGTTGAAATCACCTAATCTTAGTGGTAAGAATTTCTTGGAGAATCTAATGGTACCAAGTTTATGCCATCTGCCATAAAGTATGGAATCCTCCCCACTTCCTGGGCTGGCACCCTCCCTACCAAGAACTACTTAAGATGTCAACTCAACAGGGAACAAGGTTTTGATTTGAACCCTAAATTTTTGTTTTCTCTCTCCTCCCCAAAACTGGCTTGGGTCCTTCTTCTCACCACCCATCTACAGATGTTGCTCTCCCATCCCTGTGAGCAACAAGCCCTTAAGCACTTAGCAAGAAAAAGGGTGGGGCAGTTGAGGAGTGAGGTTGGCTTTCATCTAAAAGTTTTTTTCTCACCCTTCTTTTTTTTTCTTTTCTCTTTTCATTTCTTTTTTCTGTAATTTGATTTTTGCAATCTGTAATCTCCATCTTACTCTGTTTTACTTATGTTTATTACTTACTTGTATACCTACATGCCAGGGGAGGGGTTCTTATTCTGCCCCTGTTTTTCTCACCCCAGCCAACTCATTTCTTATCAACAACTAAAATATTTATTTCTGATGAGGTTTTTTTAATGAAATTAGTGAACACGGACATAATTCATGACTGGTTATAAAACTTCCAGAATTTATACAATTGGTTACTGCAGATTTTACAAATGCACAAATGTACTCCTGTGTAATGATGAAGCCTTTTATTAAAAAGAAACATAATTAATTGATTTTTATCATAGCTAAATTAATCCAATCAGATTCACAAGAGCCAGCAATTGAGAGAGAGTGGGCAAGTCATTTTGTCAACCCATTGCTTTGTTGGAGAATGCGTAAGAGTAGATACCTAAGTTTTAAAATGCATTTTAAAAATGAAAAATCTTTCTTGAAGCTTTTATTTTAGTTTTAATTCCAAGCTAGTAGATTAAATTTAATATTTCCAATAAGCAAAATACTATACTGCATTTCAAACCATATTTAAATTGATTGGAATAATTTCTTTTCTTTTAAATTGCTAAAATCGGCCATACTGACAAATCTGTCAACATAATTCCCTATTAAAAAAATTTTCAAAAATATATAAAATATTTTTCTAAAACTTTGTTTGAGTAAGATTAATTGATTTAAAGTTTAACTAATCTGAATTGTTTATTTTTAGTTTAAAATATCACAGAAAAACATTTTTATAAATTTACTTAAGTTTGCATTTAAAACAATTTCATTATTTTACAGTTTAACTGATACTCCTGGTTTCACTAAGCTATAGATGCACTATTCTTGTCAGATGAAAATTTGCACCCTTTCAAATCTGTGTCTGGGGGCTACTGCCCCCACCTTTTCTAAACATCTGATAAGAGTGACAAGATTTGTTTATGATTGAATTAAGTAATAATGGTAAATGAAAGACTTGCTTAAGACTATAAACCTGTTTGTTGGGTGCAGGAATTTTAGTATAGGATAAAAAAATTAATCTTGTAAAGTTTTTTCATGTTAATTAGAATGATTCCAATATTATTTCTTGTTCTTCTATGTGCTGTGTTTCTTCACAATGTGGATGATCAAGGCTCTCCACAACTTTCTCTCCTTAGTAGATCTTAATAAAGTTTATCTCTCGTAGTCTCTGTTCTGCCATCCATTTACACAAGTTAATTAAGTAGCTTACTTGCTGCTTTCATCTATCCCTCATACTTTCAATATGTCCTGTATGTGTCAGAGTCTCTGGGCCCTCTTTCTTCATAATATGTCCTAGAAATTCCAATTGCCTCTTTCTAAGTACAAGCATCCTTTTTTCTTTCCCTTTTTCATAAATCTTCCTTGTTACTCACGTTTGGTCCATGGGATTCTCGGCATTCTTCTAATGCTGTAAGCCTCCTCTTCACCCATGAGAAGATTTTGTCCAACATTCACTGCTGTAATACTCTTTGTTTCTAATGAAAATTTCCTGTTTCTTGATACTTTACCTCGCTTTTGAAGGGATTTTTCTCTATTCCAATGCACCTTAAGATTTCCATGTCATATTTTCTATCCTCTGTTAAAAGATTTCTGAGGTATTTAAATTTTTGAACTTGCTTGATTTTGACATCTCCAATTTGTAGTTTGCATCTTGATCTGTTCCTATTTTCTGACAACCAAACATTCTCCCTTCTTACAATTGATTAGTCTTTTCCTTCTGTATTTTTAATTCCTTCTGTACAAGTTGTTGTAGTTTCATTTCTGTGTTTGCAATCAACACCCTATCATCAGCATATTTTATGCTGTTAAGATTGTGTTCGTCAATAATAAATCCTAGTAGGACTTCAGTTCTCTCATGATTGCTTTGCTGTAAAGTTTGGTTAATGCCATGATGAGTTTTCAAAATATGGCAAAGAATGTCTTGCTATTGTGTATTTATCTGTAAGTTAGTTAGTTTCCTGAATTCTTAGGTTACATGTCCAAATAGATGTTAAGTTACATGTCCTAACATCTATTCTTTCAAAAGAAACTCAAGGATTACTGAAATGTTAAAAGGTAAGAGCAGAGAAATGTTTGAGATCAATAGAGAAAAAAAACAAGCAGGATGTGAATAATGGCAAGAATGCATTTCTTTCTTTTTTTCTTTTGTCTCAACAATGTTAAAATAAAGTCACTTGTTATTGGCAAGAGTATCTTAGACAAATTTATTCAACAGGTTGAAAACATCAATGTTAGAAAACTACTTTTTGTTGACATATTATTCTTTCAATTTAAATGACTGATTATGTTGAAGTTTACAGAAGCAAATAAACCCTTGGAATCAAGTACAGATCACTAAATTTTAGAAAACATTTTTGTCTATTGAAGGATTTTGAAAGATTACCTTTTCTTTTAAATGGCTTAAAACTCTTCTCAACTTACAAATAGATAAAAAAAATTCAGGTGATTTGTTAAATCTGAAGTCCTGCAATTTCATTTCTTCTTATATTTGTGAAAAACCTAAGCCAGTTACACCAAGAAGAAGAAAAAATTATATAAAACATTTAGAACAATTAGTATGTAAAATGTTTTCAAGTAATTTATAATGAACAACTGTGATAGACTAATAACGCAATACAAAGACTATTTAGTTAATCAACTTTTCAGTTCATCTAATAAAGAAATTATTAAGATGTTCACATTATTTGAATCTATAGTTAGTCTTTTCTTTTTCTCGGGGATATTTGATTGATATATTCATATACGAGAAACCTTTATTTCACATTAGGAATTCTAAGAGCAATAATAAAAATCAAGTTTTAATATCGCTGGTTTTAATATTTACTCAAAAGTAAATGAGTTTAAATAACAACAAAAAATAAACATTATCAAAGTGTTGTAAAAAGGATTTTGTGAGCATTTGATTTATTTTTCTATCGGATTGAAGTGATGGGGAATTGTTTTTATATTTCAGGTACTCGGTTATTGCGTCCCTCAAGAGCAATACAATGGAGATGATGTCACGTTGGTCTCTTTGATAACTGAACTTGGTGAAACTATTGACCTCATCAGATTACTACCAATGTCCTGGGAAGACAGATTAAGAGTAAGTGACCAGAGCCAATGTTCACCAATTAATGAATACTTAACAAACGTTTTGGTTTTAACCCATTGTACCCAACTCTTTGCTGTTCAGCCAAACACTAAAACTTTTTCTTTTTACTTTACAAAGAATAAAACAAGTTAAAAATTATAGTATGTTAATTAAGTTCACCTTATTATTATTGCCAAGTTTATTAATTTTGTGGGTGTACATATATATATATATATATATATATATATATATATATATATATATATATAAAATTTAAAGAAAAACAGACCACTTTAAGGCTCCATTGTAAGAGTTTATTTCACCAGAGACCTTTTAAAGGACGCTGGATCATCAGACATCACTTCCAAAAGGTGAAACGAAAAATGAAATGAAAATTTTCATTCCAAGTCTCTGAATTTACACTTCTGCATCTTCCACATTCCTCCAAAAATTCTGATGAAGCTAAATTAGAATAGTGAAACATTTAAAATCCATAAAGGTTTTCCATACTTGTTCCTTTTATTTTTATATATATATATATATATATATAGAGAGAGAGAGAGAGACATTGAAGTCAACACCCAGAAATTACTGTTTGTTTCTTGCTAAATGCAATTGTCAAACCATATGCCTGACAATTGCATTTAGCATGAAACAGACTGTTACCTCTGAGTGCTAACTTCAATGTCCACTTTTATATTTACATATGCCCTATTCCTGATATTGAGCACTTGACCCATAAATATAGCATACCTTAAATCTATATTTTATCGTATAGTGTATTTGGGCATCAATCCTCCTTTTATATAAGTTTCATTAAAGATGGCTGACAAGGTACTGCAATTAAGATTTTTATTTAATTTTTCTTTTGTTCATATAAGTGTTTTCTTTTCTTGACATAAAGTGTGTAAAAATTGTCCAAATGTTGCTTTCAGCTATTCTAGCCATTATCAAGGATAGTTTTTATTTTTATTTTTAAATGAATGCATGGATTTTTTCATGTATGTATCTAGAGTTATATATATATATATATATATTTTCCAAACATGGTTTGCACATTGTGTCTGTGTTCTTAGTTGACTTTATTGAGTGTTGTTTTTTTCTTTTTTATTATTAATGTTTCCATTATTTTTAGCCCTTTTTTTACATGTGGATGAGGATATCATACTTGTATTATCAACAAGTATGTTGCAGGTGGAGTTTAGTAAGTTTCTGTGTATGTTTAAATGAATCTTAATTGAACAATGGTCAGAGAGGTTTAACATGAGCCTTCTTGATAAGCATGTAGAGGTATGTCCAATATTATTATTCAAAAACTTTGTTTGATTGGGAATGTAGGGACATATAAATTCATAAATAATATTGTTTTCTGGAATTTAGATCTTGCAGTGTTGTTATTGTTGATGATAAATTTAGCTGTTTTAATTTTTTTTATAGTAGATAATTTAATTTTCTTCTTTTGGCTGACTGGGATTGTGTATTTCTTTATAATGTCTCTAAGAGAAAATTCATCTTTCTTAATGTGTATTTGGCTTTTATAGAAAATGTTACTGTTTTTATCTGTATGTTCAGTATTGTTATTACTTTAGAAAGAAATAGTTGGGTGATCACTGAGGTAGTTTGAAAAAACTGTTGTTAATTAGAATCTGTTTCACATTATTGAATTCTTTAAGGAAAAGTGGATGAGAAGATGAATTTTCATGCTCTCTCTTGATATATATATATATATATATATATATATATATATATGTAAGCAAATGTAAATGGATATAGATCCGACAGAATGAAGAAAAATTTGGCAAAAACAAACCAAAAATCCTTAAATGCAATTATGTTGTTTAAAATGAATGAAATGTTGACGTCTGACGTTTCGGTTTAATAAACCTTCTTCAAGACAATATTCATTAAAAATACAATTCAGTTCAATTTGACAAAGGCGATGGACATAAAATTGAACTGAATTGTATTTTAATGAATATTGTCTTGAAGAAGGTTTATTAAACCGAAACGTCAGACGTCGACATTTCATTCATTTTAAACAACATAATTGCATTTAAGGATTTTGGTTTGTTTTTTCCAAATTTTCTTATATATATATATATATATATATATATATATATATATATATATATGAGAGAGAGAGAGAGAGAGAGAGATGCAATATACACTGTTTAAAAAAACAGCATTTATTCAAATATGGATATTAATAAAATAATGTTTAATGTAATAAAAATGTCAGATTAAAAATAAATCCATTAATACTTTACAAATTGCTTTGTTTACCTTTTGGATACAAAATCAAGTAGATAAGGGCTTTCGAGATAATCTGAATGAGGAAATGTGCATTAAAAGGGAAAATAGAACCTTGATGGAATGTGATGCTCTCCATGGCCAAGCAGTCTAAAGTACACCAGATCAGATGGTGGTTTCTCTTACAAATGGTGATGCAGGTTCAAATATTGTTGCAGAGTACATTTTTAAGTTTTCTGTGCAGGTCAGTAGATGTAATATATATGGTTTAAAAATCAGGGCATCTATTCATATGCAAACATCCACTAAAAATAGTGTTTGAAAAAATAAAAAGAAACATATGTAATGACTTACAATTATGGTCTTCAGAATCACTTTCATACTTGATGAACAGTATTTAAACAGTACATCCCAAGTAATAAAATTCACATATATAAACTTCTCCAAAACATTTTCAGAATAATTTTAAAATGTTTTTTTTTTTTTTTTTTGTTTTTTCAACTGGTCAAACAATTGTGTGTGCTGTAATCACTAAGTTAAGCTCCATTTTTTTCTAGAGATTCTGATAACATAAATTTAGCAAGAAGCCAGTTGTTTCTGATTTCAAGGCTTTTGTTGTCCTTATCTGCTTTTAAAACAATTCTCAATACAAGTTAAAGCACTTTTCACTGCTTTCTTACCAAAAAAACCTTTTAATGCCCAGAAATTGTACTTAGGTGGTATACCAAGGGTGGGTAGGAATTTAGCTTTTATTGTAAGAAGGCAAAAAAAAAAACGAGGTTTTCCTTTTAGAAAAGAAAGTTTGAATGTCAGGCTCTGTAGAAGCGAAACAAAATCTGTTTTGATAGTCAGGAAATTTGAATGTCTGATAATGGCTTAGAAACTCATAAACATGAATTCCCAATCTCCTCCCATGTTTTTTTCTGGGGTGGGGCACAGGGGGTAGGAATGGAAGAGTGGTGAAAGTGGAGGAATGCAAGAGATGTATCTTGCTAAGAAGAGGAAAAGCAAGGAGATTCCAGCTGTTTCTTCAGACACTAGTTTGGCTCCTCAAATATGTTCACTGTTTTGGAATTCAAATGCTTATATATATATATATATATATATATATATATACACACACACACACACGCACTCAAATGTGACAGACCAAAATTTACTAATTAAAGTAATAAATATATAAATATGCTTGTAGGTGTGCATATCTCTCTCTCTCTCTCTCTTACTATATATATATATATATATATATATTCATTCTGATATGCCAAAAGTCATGAGATAGGTGCCTAGTGTTGTCAGACACCTTCTATCCCAGTAAAGTGCAACACCTTCAAATTGCATCAATTCCACAAGTGGTCAGAAGATGTAGGAAAAAATATTGAGTAATACCATCTCAATGTCTGTCTGCACATCTCCCTGACATTTGTAGCTAGATTATAGCTATTTTCTCCTCCAGACAAAGTTTACAGCTTTTGGGATTTATTGTATATTTTTATATTTGAATACACTCTATCCCTGGTCATATTAAGCACTTTAACTAATAAATATACCATGCCTTAAAACTATATATATATATATATATATATATATATATATATATATACACACAAAGAGGGTGCTGAAAAAAATTATGGAATATTAGAAATTTAATGATTTCAAGAATGAAAACCTAAGTAAATGAGAATAAAAGACAAAAAGTGAATGAACAGCTGACCTTTTAATATTCATTTAAAAAGAAAGAATAAAAATTCTTTAACTGTCAGATAAATATCTACAAGTGACTATCAAGTGCAAATTTTTATCTTGGGCAACAAAATGACTGAAGTGGGAAGTTGAGGTCTGATGTGGAGATAGATGACATGTTGTACCCCTTTTGATGGAATCTGATTTGTGTCTGTTCACATATGTGGAGATTTAAATGTCAAGGTAGCTATGAAGTGAGTCCTTTGGTTGATGTGAACATCTGATCCCTAAATAGATTTATTTATTTGGAGCTCAAGTCTGGCATGAGGTTATATTTTGGGTATACCAAGTACAGGCCTATTAGATTAGCATAGATAGGTTCATGTATCATACGGTTCACACTCCTCCCAGGTTTTTTTGAAGAGGAGTAGAGGTTTATCCCTTGTTTCCTGTTTAGGATTGGGTTTCTGGTTCCTTCTAAAGTCTACTTCCACACTATATTTCTAATGTATCCAACCGAACTCTGAAATGTTATTCACTAATTAAATCTTGAACTTTTCAAGTCCAGAATTAGCTGTTATCTTTCCTGCTTAGCTCCAAGAACTTCACTACTCACATTTTCTTACAGTCATACAAATCTACAGAATAATCCTCTATCATGAGTGGCTCTTTCGCCTTGTATTGTGTAAAAAAAAAAATACTTTACAAGCATGAAAAATGGTTGCTCTTGTATTAAGTATTTGTATTAGAACATTTTTATAAAAACCATTTTGACTCTCCAACCAATCCTGATTCAGGTGTCTCTGGTGGGTGATCAGATTTAACCAGTTTCAAATATTGATGTCTTCAGAAATTTTCTTATGTGCATCTCTCCTCATTATATAGTTTATAAGTCCAACTGTTAACCCATCAATAATGAATTCAGACTCAATTCGATGTGCCATATAAAATGTAACTTGAATTAAATTCCCATAAGTGTAATATAATCCATTGCTTGGTTAGCTACCATATATAATAATATAAACAGATTGTCCAATGGTCAGTGTTTTTTTTTTTTAACTTTATTTTTTGTAATTTTA